AACAACACAACAACAACAACAACCAACAACGAACGGGTGGGTCGCGGGTGGGTCGCGGGTGGGTCGCGGGTGGGTCGCGGGGTGGGTCGCGGGGTGGGTCCGGGTGGGTCGTCGGGGTGGGTCGCGGGGTGGGTCGCGGGGTGGGTCGCGGGGTGGGTCGCGGGGTGGATCGCGGGTGGGTCGCAAGTGGGTCGCGAGGTGGGTCGCGGGTGGGTCGCTGGTTGGGTTGCGGGTGGGTCGCAGGTGGTGGGTCGCAAATGGGTCGCGGGTGGGTCGCGGGGTGGGTCGCGGGTGGGTCGCGAGTTGGGTCGCGGGTGGGTCGCGGGGTGGGTCGTGGGGTGGGTCGCGGGGTGGGTCGCGGGGTGTGTCGCGGGGTGCGTCGCGGGTGTGTCGCGGGGTGGGACGACGACAAGAAACAAAACCACCACCACCAACAACAACAACACCATTAAAAACAACAACTTCAACAGCAACAACAACAAGAACAACAACGCAGCAAGCAGAATTCTCACCACGGATTCTCACTTCAGCCACGCACCCAGGGACAATGAATGACCGTTCGGCCCCCTCACTCTGATTTATAGAGTGCAGCGACGGCAAGTATCAGCTGTTCGACTCGGACGCTGGTTCTCCTCTGCTTTGCCACGCCCCTTTCGGCGATGCGCCCATGTGCGCCCTGGGGGGAAGGTCAAGGGGGCGCGCCTTCTCAGGAAGGCTCAGAAATAATCCCGCCTTGTGAGAAACTTCCCAAGCCTTGTTCGACGCCCCCCTCTCTCTTCGTCATCGTCATCGTCATCCCACCTTGTGAGAAACTCCCCAAGCCTTGCTCGAACCCCCACCCCCTCTCATCGTCGCTGAGACGAGATCGATGTTTTGAAAGTCGCCCGCCTTCAATCCATTAAACTCTTGCATTTGGTTTGGACGAGTGTATGTACGCGGCGCTCAAAAGAGAGCCACATTTTGAAAGCCGCTCGCCCTTCATCAGTGAACCTGTTACCAGTTTCGGAGCCTCATGTTCGTAAGTGGTCGGGAAGTCTCGGCCGAGATGCCCGGCCAGCCCCTCCGATTGGCCTCGGGGTGCGATAGGGAGGAGCTATGAATAAGGAAGAGGGATCTGGCTATCGCTCGGACGTACATTCCCTGTGTTTTCTTGGGCTTCGTGCGTGGATTTCTTCGCCACATGATCAAGGATGCTGCTCGATGGTCCTCGCCGAAGGAGAAATGCACACGTCCGAGCGATGCCAAGGGAATGAGGAGGAGTCCGAGGGGGAGGGGCACGCTGGAAAATGTTGCCACCGCTCCGAATTCTGACCGCTCCACGTCCCCAGAGGCCCACGGAGGCCGCAGGGGAGGTCCTCGCAGGTCCCTGGGACGATCCCAGAAGAACGCAGGTGCCGAATCGGCGGCTCATTTCATGCCATATCATGTCGCTAACTTTCAAGGGGCCCAAGGATACACAAATAAATACACACACATAGAATTATCCCACATACTTTCCAATATGTTCTGGGTTTTTGTCTTACCCCCCAAATTCCCATATTTTCCCACATTTTCCTGGGAGTCGACGATGAATTGTGTCTGTGTCTCTTTCGCTCCTGAAGCTTCTGCTCCTGCAGGAGCAGACGGCCGGCACCTTTAAGGGATTTGGAGGACTGCCGAGGGTATCCTGTCGCAGGCTTGATGCCTGCACGGCGCGCGTTCCAAGGACCTCGCCTCGAGGGTAGAAGGAGTTGTCATCTCTTCCTCGGCGGCCGGTCCGGCGGCGGAAGGGCGGCGGAAGGCGGCGGAAGCAAAACGAGGCCGCCTCCGCTGGCGGAAGCCGGCGGAAGGCCGACGGAAGGCGGCGGAAGCAAAAGATGCGCCCCGAGGAGATGAAAGCGTTTTTGGGTTCAGGGCTTTTGGAATCCGCCCTGTACCTTCGCAGGCCTCCCCCTCCATCCCAGCCTCCTCCCCTTCCTTGTCCTCATCTTTCTGTGCTCGTCATTTCCCAGGGGATGCGACACTGCTGGAGCGGCCGCGCGGCTTTTCGTCTGTCCGACACAGAGAGGCAAGGACCCCGATGGGCGCATGCAAGCGAGCAGGCGCCCACACCGACCTAATTGAGGCATCGCGGCCAGGGCGGAGCTAAAGAGCAACCATGAAAGACAGCGGGAAAGTGGACAGAGACGTGCCAACCTTCCCGCCAGAAAGGCGTGGATATCTACGGGAATCGAGCTTCACACAGCGGCAGCCGTCAATGCAGTCGGAAGCGGTCCCTTCCCTGCGCCCAGTGGCTGGACAATTTAAACACAAGAGGACGAGAGAATGAGCGGCATCGAACGCAAAATGAAAGGGCATCGAATTACAGACTGCGGCAGCCGTCCCTGCAGTCGGAAGCGGTCACTTCCCTGCGCCAAGTGGCTGGGCAATGCAAAATCTGGTAGTGTGTCGACGCTGGCAGCAAGACCAGGAGGACGAGAGAATGAGGCTTAAGAACAGTGCCAAGGATGAGGTGGGGCAGGACGAGGAGGAGGAGGAAGAGGCCTATGAGGAGGACGAGGAGGATGAGAAGGAGGCGGAGGCAGAAGAGACTTTCCTCTTCGGCCCTCTGACGATGTCCTTGTCATTGTCGTCGCCACTCATGTTCAATCCATGCGTATGGATGTGCACATGTGCAGCTGTGTTGCTGTCGAGGGCCAGGGCGCGCTAGAATATAAGCGCGCTTGCCATGTACCGTAGCACTCCGCATATGCGGATAAGAGTGAGGGGGTGGTGGGGACGTCGGCAGTCTGCGAGACTCTGGAGAAGCCCGCCGCAGGCGCCAAAGTTTCACAAATTATGCAACGAGCCTGCCGCAGGCGCCGATTTTTTCTTCAAACCAATGTGGATCGGTCGCGGGTGGGTCGCGGGTGGGTCGCGGGGTGGGTCGCGGGTGGGTCGCGGGTGGGTCGCGGATGGGTCGCGGGATGGGTCGCGGGTGGGTCGCGGGGTGGGTCGCGGGTGGGTCGCGGGGTGTGTCGCGGGGCGGGTCGCGGGGTGGGTCGCGGGGTGGGTCGCGGGGCGGGTCGCGGGATGGGTCGCGGGGTGGACGACGACAACAAACAGCAACAAACAGCAACAACAACAATCATTTTAAGGCTGTTCGCCCTTATCTGCTCAAGTGTCCAATAACGCGTATTTCCCAAACCCTCGATACCCGCCCTCTTCGTCTTCGATCGAACCCCTTTTGGGGGGTATACCTTTCTTCCCTGCAGGCCGGGCCCCGGCAAGCGGCGGGGCGGCCGCGGACCGTCGGCCTGGCCAGCGGCAGCGCTGATCGGCGGGGCGGCCGCGGACCATCGACCCGACCCGAAGAGAGACGGACAGGGGACCGACCACGACGACGACGACGTCGACGACGACGGCGACGACGACGACGGCGACGACGAGGAGCGAAAGCGAGAGAGAACGACAGCAGGGCCACAATGACACGAAGTAGGCCACGAAGGGCAACAGCGGGGACACGAAGGGAATGCGTATGGGGCCACGAAGAGCGGGAACGAGCGGGGGCCACGAAGGGCAGATAATGCGGGGCCACAGAAGGCAACGATGGGGTCACTGAGGGTAGCAACTGGGCCACGTAGGACAGTGAGGGGGCCACAAGCGGCGACAGCGGGGCCACGAAGGGCATGCAATGGAGCCACAACGGGCGCGAACGAGCGGGGGCCACGAAGGGCATACGTATTCTGGGCCGCGGAGGGCAAGGACGGAGCCACTGAGGGCAGCAACGGGGCCACGAAGGGCAGCGAGGGGGCCACGAAGGGCGACAGCGGGGCCACGAAGGGCATGCATATGGGGCCACCGCGGGTGCGAACAAGCGGGGGCCACGAAAGGCATACATATGTGGGGCCACGAAGGGCAACGAGGGGGCCACGAAGGGATGCAACGGGGCCACGAAGGGCACCGAGGGGGCCGCGAAGGGCTGCAACGGGGCCACGAAGGGCTGCGACGGGGCCACGAAGGGCAGCGAGGGGGCCACGAATGGCTGCAACGGGGCCACGAAACAAAGTGAGGGGACCACGAAGGGCTGCAACGGGGCCACGAAGGGCAGCGAGGAGGCCACGAGGGGCTGCAACGGGGCCGCGAAGGGCAGCGAGGGGGCCACGAAGGGCTGCAACGGGGCCACAAAACAAAGCGAGGGGGCCACGAGGGGCTGCAACGGGGCCACGAAGGGCAGCGAGATCCCGATTCTTAGGTAATCTGCGAGGGAATCCTAAACGTGAGCGCGACTCCTGGGTGCCTGGGTGTCGGGAGCGCGGTGCTTGAATAAATTGCAAGAATTTCCAACGTAAGGACGTCATTCTTCAGTAAATTGCAAGCAAGTCTCCAGCGAGAGCACGACTCCAGAGCGCCGGGAGAGCGATTCCTGAAGAAATGATAAGGAAGTCCCAAGCGAGAGCGTGATTTCGGAATAAAATGCAAGGAAATCTCGGGCGGGAGCGGGGGTCCTGGCTAAATTGTGAGGAAGTCTCAGGCGGGAGCCGTTGTTGCTGTAACCCGGGGGCCAACGACACAGTTTGACCCTCAAGACTTTCCTTTTTTTTGGTTGGGAACAAACAAGGCGCGAGCCCCAGGAAGGGCACTTCAATCGAGAAAAAAACAATGTGCACCCGGCGGGGGGATCAACAATAATTATGCTTCAGAAATGAAAGTTCAACAACAACAAAAACACTTCCACCACCACCAACAACAACACCAACACTAACACCACCAACACCAACACCAACACCAACACCAACACCAACACCAACACCAACACCAACAACACCAGCAACAATAACAATCATTCTACCCTCATGCGCGATGTTTCCACACGCAGCATGCGACCATCATGATAACCATCCACGTAATGGGGGACTATTCTTCTATAGTGGGGTCCGTTACCCCCATTCCCAGATCTCCCACCCAATGAGGTCTTGCAAACACCTCCTCCGAGGAAATTCAACATATCCCCCTCGAAAACACATGCCCGCGCCGTGCTGCGCCGATGCGAGACCGCCAGTGGAACCCCAGCGAAGGGTAAAGCACAAATAAGTATCGAACGACATGATTGCCTTGGTGGGGATGGGGGCTGTCGGTGGTGAGGCAAGGACCTGGCCCTGAATAGAAAGGGAGGGAGTCTCGAGCAGGGTTGCTGCTGTTGTTGGGAGCGGCGCCAATGCTGAAGAGAGTAGGGAGCTAGTCCAACGTAGAACAAAACGAAGTCTCGAGCGGAACGCTGGTTTTGTTGGGACGGTGACTTTCGGCGGCGAGGAGGAACACCGCCTTGAGTAAGAAAGGAGGAAGCATCGAGCGGGAGCCGTGGTTTTGTCGGGACGGGGGCTGTCGGCGGCGAGGAAAAAGAAAGGAAATCTCGAGCGGGAGCCTTGTTCTTGCTGGGAGCAACGCCAATTCAAAAGAGAGTAACGTGCCAATCCAGCGTAAAACGGAAGGAAGTCTCGGGCGGGAGCGCTGGTTTTGTCGGGGCGGCGGTTTTCGGAGGCGAGGAGGAATACCGCCTTGAGTAAGAAGGGAGGAAGCATCGAGCGGGAGCCGTGGTTTTGTCGGGACGGGGGATGTCGGCGGCGAGGAGCAGCACCGTCCCGAGGAAAAAGGGAGTAAGCCTCGAGCGGGAGCGTTGTTCTTGCTGGGAGCGGTGCCATTTCAAAAGAAAGTTGGGCGGCAGACCAGCGTAAAACGGAAGGAAGTCTCGGGCGGGAGCGCTGGTTTTGTCGGGGCGACGGTTTTGGCGGCGAGGAACAGCACCGCCTTGAATAAAGAAGGGAGGAAGCCTCGAGCGGTACCGTTGCTCTTGCTGGGGGCGGCGCCGATGAGAGAAAGACAAGCGCGCCAGTCTAAGGTAAGACGGGAGGAAGTCTCGAGCGGGAGCGCTGGTAATGTTAGGACGGCGGTTTTCGGCGGCGAGCAAGAACACCAGCCCTGAGTAAGAAAAGAAGAAATCTCGAGCGGCAGCGTTGTTGTTGTTGGGGGGTCGGTTTTGGCGGTCCCCCAAACCGCTCGAGCGTGAGCCTCGTTTTCAATGAAACTGTAGCCGGCGCCTCGGCGAGAGCGCCAGGGCGCCTTTAAGGTGTCCAACAATACCAATTGTTGAATAGCTAGCACTCAACAGCAACAACAGCAACAACAACAACAAACACAACAAACCCAAACACAACAACAACAACAACAATAATAACAACAACAATAACAGCAACAACCACAACAACGACACCAAAAACAACAACAACAACAACAACAACAACAACAACAACAACAACAACAACAATACCAACAACAACAACAACAACAACCACAACAACATCAACAACAACAACACCAACACCAACAACAACAACAACAACAACACCAACAGCAACAGCAACAGCAACAGCAACAGCAACACCAGCAACACCAGCAACAACAGCAACAACAACAACAACAACAACAACGCAACAAGCAGAATCCTCACCACGGATTCTCACTTCAGTCACGCACCCAGGGACTCCGCCGTTTACGGCGTTCTCTCTTCCTCGAATGCAGGAGGCAGCGCACGGGGCCCAGCCGCCGCAGGCGCCCCGCTGCCCCAGTCGGGCCGCAGGGAGGCCGCCGAGGGGCCCGGGTGCGCCGTGCCCGCCTGCGCAGAGGGTCGCTGGCCAGCCACCGTGGCACCGGTGGCAGCGGCCTTCTCGGCCGCCACCGCAGCAGCCTCCCACTCCTTCTCCTCGTCCTCCTCCTCCTCCTCCTCCTCCTCCTCCTCCTCCTCCTCCCCGCGTGCCTGTCATCCCTCAACACTTGATGCTCCTGCCCCTGCTCCGAGTTTCTGAATGAGCGTCGGGGGGGCGTCACCCCCGCCGACAACCCACATCGACCCCCGTCGCGGGCAGCCACCGCGCGCCGGAGGCGCTCCGACCCCCGTCGCGGCGCGACGACGAGGCGAGGTCGACCCCCGTCGGGGGGGTACCCCCCCCGCTTATTAAGAATCCCAGAGTAGGTATCGTGGACTTGATGGCCAAGGGCAAGGGCAAGGGGCAGCATGCCCCACGTGTGTACAGCGAACCTGGAGGCCTTCAGCAAGGCCCCGTTCCAGGAGGCATGCCCGCCGAGCAGGCCATTCGGATCAGCTCGGTGATGCAGCAGATGGAGACCAACGAGCAACAGCTCACAGTGATGAGCAACCAGATGCAGCAGATACAGCAGTTCCTGGCGAACCTGACTTGCGTGATCGGGGACCTCACCAAGCAGAGGCGAAAGGCGGAGTCCATGCCAGTCCCACCGTCTCCAGTGGCAGCAACGACACCGTCCACGCCAGTGACGGTGGCGGCAGGTGGTCCAACGATGGCAGCAGCGGCAGTGGCAGGTGGCCCAACGTTGATGCCAACGACGCAGGGATCAGCGGTGGGGTATACTATAGATCAGATAGTCATAGAGCCGTCGCCAGCCAATGTAGTTTCGGTCTTCGAGGCGTCTCAGCAGGAGCAGATCCCATGCGAGGGCACATTGACA